CTTTCAAGGCATTTGATTGTTTTGGTTTTTCCTTCTGAAAACAATTTGGTCTCTTTTGTAGCACATTTCAGTTTTGTTCTGTTTTTATGACTTGTTCCCCGTGTTTTCCTTCAGCTGCAATGAAGAGAATTAAGTACAGTTGTAGCCCTGATTAAAATCTTGGCTTAATTGAGTTGCAAATTGCCAGTGACAGACACTTGTCAGGGGGCTGATGATTAGCACCTTTTAGCATTCCTTTGCCTTCCTGAATCTTCGGGATTCTCTCTGGTTTTACCATTGCTTATGCTCATTTCCACTGTTTTTTTTCTCTTTGCAGCATGAAGCTCTGCACAGGGTGTAAATTGCTTTCTCCATGATAGTGACTTGTTAATTAGCTGTCAAGAAAATTCAGTCTCTTTGTAAGGCCTGTCTTGCTTTTCCCTGGGGTACCTTTGATACTTGGTCTCCTAATGCAGGGTCTGAAGGCTGGTTAGAGTACGAAGACTGACATTGCCCATACTGAAATGGCAGCATTTTCAACTACCTTTGAAGGGATTCATAGTGTCATTTGGCATTGCTGAAATAATAATCCTAAATGGAGAAGCTGACAAGGAAATCTATCAAGGAATCATGGAATGGTTTGGGTTGGAAGGGACCTTAAATTTCATCCAGTTCCAACTCTCTGCCATGGGCAAGGGTACCTTCCACTAGACCAGGTTGCTCCAAGCTCTGTCCATCCTGGCCTTTGAACACTGCCAGGGATGGGGCTGCCACAGCTCTTCTGGGCAACCTGCTCCAGTGTCTCAACACCCTCGCAGTAATTTATTCCTAATATCTAATCTGAGTCTGCCATCTCTCAGTTTAAGAACATTCCCCCTTGTCCTGTCACTACATGCCCTCATAAAAAGCTTTTCTCCAGCTTTCTTGTAGGCCCCTTTAGATATTGAAAGGCTCCTCCCTGGAGCCTTCTCTTTTGCAGGCTGAACAAGCCCAGCTCTCTCAGCTTGTCTTCCTAGGAGAGGTACTCCAGCCCTTGGAGCATCTACAGCTTTGTCTGGATTTGCTCCAGCAGCTCCATGTTGTCCTCCTTTTGGACACCCCAGAGCTGGATTCAGGATTGCAGGTGGGGTCTCACGAGAACAGAGTAGAGGGGGAGAATCACCTCACTCAACCTCCTGCTTACCTGCTTAGCTCACTAGACTAACATGGGAGACATTGTATAAGGTACAGGCAGTATATTACCAGTAGTAGTGCTTTTTCTTCCACATGCAAGTTGAGTAACAACCCATGTTTCCTTGCCAGTCCTCTCTAGCATCACTTGCCTTACTGTCAGGGGATGATGCAGGACTGATTCTTGTTACTGATATGCTGAGTTATAGCTTGGGCTGCTGGTCTGTTGATAGAGATGCTAACCCTATTTTAGGGAAATCCAACAAATATATAGAAATTGCAATAGAAATGTAGATTTTGATTAGACAGAGATGCTTAATAATTAAATATAAGTGCTCCTTCTCTCTTTTCTCTAACCCTCAGGAACTATATTCTAGCAAAGGCTCTCAGGTGCTGAGTTTCAGTTGAGGTACCTTGTGGCCCGGGTATGACACTTCTGTATCCAATTATATAATCTATTTTGTATGCTGAGCCCCGAGAGTGGAAAAGATGGAAACATGGGTAGATTGTCAGTTGTTTCCAATGAAGAAATCTCTGTTTGGTGGAACTGTTTGCATTCCTGTGGTCAGTGGTATAAGGAAATACCATGTTATGAAAAATTCCCAATTGTTTCCTTAAGGGCTCTTAGAGTTACACAATCTTTTGATGATTTTGTTTGTTAAAAAAAAACAAAACACAACAAAACAAACCTTCAGTTGGGAACTCAATTCTCTTAATTATTTACTAGGGCTGTTTTTTTATACTCAAGGTTTGGATCCAAACCAGAAGTGTATTTTCCTACTACACACTGATCGGCCATTCTAATATGAGTAGTTGAAGGAAATTGTGTTTTCATTCCAGGACGTGTTTCTTTGGGATACCCCATCCCCTGACTCTCTGTCATTGTGATTACTCATAGTTTCTCTCTGATGATAGATGCAGTCTTAAAATGTTGCTTCTCAGAGTGGGAGAGAGCTCTCAAATAACTAAGTGGCTTTTACACTTTAGTTCTAAGAAGATAAATGGTATCTCTGCCACACACACACAAATCCTGTTGTCCTGCAGACTGAAGCCCTCATTTAACATGTAATTTGTCTTTGCTTTTTCAGTATCCTGTTCGGATTTGTGTAATATGTCTGATTTCTGACATGTGCATTTATTCAGATGTATTCCAAATTTGTTGAGGCTGCTCACATTCAATATTTACTGCTGTCATGTCTTGAGTTAAATCCATCTCTCCTAATTTATTCATCCAAGAATGTCTTTCAGTTGTTATTTTCCCTGATCTGAGAGCTGGCTTTGAGTTGGTTCTTTACTGTGTGACTGTTACTCCTCTTCAGATTTCCTTTTTCCCATTCTTTATGCAATCCTTATCCTTTGTGGCTGAATGTATAATATTCCTTTTGGCCATACAGGCATTTAATTAATGACTAAGAGCTGAGAATATGGCCTAAACAATGCTCAGCATAGTGAAGACCACTGCTGGCCAGTATTTACGTCAGCATTTCTTATCCATACTCAAGGGCTGGGTAGAGTGGGATAAAAAGACCCCAGTAGATTAAGCAGAGTGAATTAGGTCATGGTACCAAGTGGCAAGGGGTTATTTTTGTTGGTTTTGGCTTTTGTTTGTTTTAATAATGTGAATTTTGAATTGGGAAGGGAGGAAGTGCATTGAGTGATACTAGGGAGAAGGGATGTGAAGAAGGAGATTGTATCCAAAGAGTTTGTGACAAAGGGCAGGAAAAATATCTGCTCAAAAGGATACGATGTTTGGAGTCTCATGGTTCCTGGCTTCAGCTGTTTTCCCGCTGCCTTCTTATGCTGAAGAGCTATAGGGTCTCCAGCTTCTCCAGTGGCAGAGGTGAGCAAGCTGGGCATCACTTATGCAGGGGTACACTGGCCTTCATGGGAGTGAGCAGTCCTTTGCAGCTCCCAGAGAGCTAGCTAATGTAGTGTTAAACACCATCATAAATGGGCATCTCTACATTCTGCCAACTGGTGCTGTTGGATCAGGAGGGAATATTACATTTTCATGTCTGAGAGTGGTCTGGCAATGCCCTCTAGAAAGAGTAGCTGTTAGGCTGCAAGACAGGCTCTCTGCTTGTGGGTGACAGCTATGCTTAAAATAACGTATCGGGAACTCGCATAGAAATAGCACTCCCTTATCTCTAGCAGTGTGAAGTAGATGAAAAATAAACCCTACTCATGCTGAGAATAAGTACTCACATTAAAGTGTTTAAATTCCTGATGCTGTGGAGGGCTCCTGCTCTAGCACGACGTTATGATGCCAATGTGTTTTCTCCTCTTTCCCCAGTCTCTGCCATCGCTTGGTGTGCTCTGCCAGGGAGCACTTGGCAGCACAGCAAAATGAGCAAATATGGCCAAGCCCCATGCAGAGCACCTGGCTAGAGCCAATCCTCTCCCCTAAATTTGTGTTCCTGTCAGATCTAAAGGTAGATGAAATAGTTCTGTGGCTGTTTACCTGTATTAATACTGAGTACAAATACATTGTTCATTCCTAAATAAGAACTTGCTGAAGACACTGCCGTATTTATGGCAACATTTATTTTTCAAGGGCGCAAGGAACAGACTTTCTGTGACAAAGTAATTGAGGGAAAAGAGACAATTAGAGCACACATGCAATAACATCTTATTTTTTAACCATGGTTCTCTTGGACACTTTTTGCTTCAGAGTGTCTTGTGACTAATGTCTCACAGTAATTTTGTATAATTCTACTTGCCTTCTTTTGGTGAAGGCTGGTTTCTTTTGAAGTCAGTTCTTTACTGCTGAAGTTCATAGAGCACACTGAGTAACCCAGCCTTTAGTGCTGATGGGGAATGGGATAGCCAGCCTGCTGAAGTGTTGAAACTGGTCAAGTATTTGTAGTACAATATACTGAGAAGACCTAAGCAGCAATGTTTGAAGTTGCTGTATTAAAGTCATGAGAGACTGGAAAGAAAAAGCGCATGATGGTTGAAAGAGGCTGTTACAACCTCATGAATAGCAACAGGTTTGCAGGTTGGTGAGAAGTGCTGCTTGTGTCTGATGGTGGGCTGAGCTCAGGGTTTTTATAATGCATAAAATGTCTCACTTGCACTGTATAGATCTTAAAAAATAAAATGTAGCATATATTTTGTATGCATGTATAAAATCAAGGAGTCTGGCCCCTGTTCAGCAGGAAATAACTGCTTTTCTTTGGAGGATTGGTCAAGGGAAAAGGGAAGACAATGGAAGTACATTTGTCAGGTTCGATTGAACTTGTGCTCAAAGACTTAGAAGACAAAAGGTGATAGAATTAAGCAGTTGCTATCTGATTTACTCATCCTACTTTCATGTCAAAGATGAAGGCAAGCGGAAAACCCATAGCTACTCAGTGGTGTGAAAGGGTCAGAGCAAGGTGGTTGTTTCCTTACGAGCTTTGCACACCAGCAGTTGTCAACCTTCAAAGAGAAGTATTTGTGTTCCTTTCACTGGCTTCCCACCCAGCCCAAGCCTGCCTGCGGCAGCTCCAGAGTTCAGCTTCTGCTAGGCAACAACAGGAGTTGTGGACTGGGTCTGTGAGGCTCTATTTTAACAATGCAGCAGGTAGACCAGGTTCTACTTTGATTTGTAACCCAGTGTGCCTGAGGCAAAATGGTGAGATTCCCAACTAGCTGCTCTTAAATGAGACTACCCTACAAAAGAATCTTTTGTATGTGAAAAATGCCTTCTATGATAAGACAGTAAAATGTAATTCACTAAAATACTCTGAAAAACAGTTCATGAAAATAAATGTTGTGTTAATGTGTTCTTAAGTTTTAAGTGTACAGTATATTCCAGTAATACTGAAAAGTCTACCAGGAGTCAGTAATCTCCTTCTTCTGTTTTACAGGTCAACTACATTACTAGAGCAAGGAGAGCTGTGGAAAAAATCAAGGTACCTAAAAAACATTTTACTGTCTGAATTCTTGGCTGTGTGGTTGCTCCTCGTTTAGTGTAAGGATTTTAAGGGGGAGGAGGGGAACTGGATCAGCAAACTGCCACATTAAAAAGCAGAGACCAAAAAAAATCACAGTAACTTTAGTCTCAATGTTGTGCAAAATACTTTTGTGAGATGAAATTGTACTTTAGCATTGGTGTGTATGCAAGAGTCTGAACAACAATCCATAATATTTAGAATCCTAGGATTATAGAATAGTTAGGGTTGGAAGGGATCTTAAGATCATCCAGTTCCAACCCCCCTGCCATGGACAGGAATACCAGATATTTGCTCCAGATATGTGATGGAGCCTCTTAGGTATAAAGATATCAAGGTGTCCTGCAATTTCCAGCCACAGTGAGGTGAATATCACCTATTTATACTACTGGGTACACCGACCAGCTGATAGGTATCATCAAAGATGAGTGAATGTGGTGCTTGAGCTTTGACATTCATCACCAGTCATCAGCGGATTTCACTTTATTTAACCAGGACGTGTAGAGTTCCTAAAGATGCAGAAGGAGGTAGACAAAGACAGCCAAACCTGAGCAGTAGCCTGTTTTTTACAGCTGAGGAACTAGGGGGTTTTGATACCTTTTTCAGACAATTCTATTATGTCCTACAAGTGTTACTATGGTATTGCTAGCATATGTTGTGTTGAGGTCTTCATTTTTATAATAGCAGCAAGCATTCCTGCAGTGCAGTTTCTTAGGGATTTTAATACCTAATCTCTTATCTGAAGTATGGTTTTTACCAGTGTTTTCTACAGCTCCCCAGTCCTTGATTAAAATAATCCAGAGTGGTATAACTTACGTTTTCATGCCTGTTATGTAACTAAACCTGCCTATATTAAAATAATCCTGTTGCTAACACCTGGCTGTGATTCTTTTGGGTTTAGTTTTGGGGGGCTTTTGGAGTCAGAAAAGTTAATTTTCCCTTATTTGCTGTGAAATGTTACCTGGGAAATGCTACACATGCCTTACAAATGCAGAAACATTATAGGGCAGAAACAAGGAGTCAAGGCATTATCACTTCAGCAGAATATAAAGACAATGGCTTTTATTAATAAAAGCTTATTGAATACCTTTGTGCACTTCAAGTTGAATACTGCTGAGCTGCCTTCTTCCATTAAGAGTGCATGAATTTTTTACTTGTTGCCGAGAAGAGCTGTGGCTGTCCCATCCCTGGCAGTGTTCAAGGCCAGGTTGGATGGGGCTTGGAACAACCTGCCCTAGTGGAAGGTGTCCCTGCTCTGGCCAGGGGGCTGGAACTGGATGATCTCTAAGGTCCCTTCTAACCCAAACCATTCTGTAATTCTATGACGTGTTCATCGATAATGCCTTTCATTTCAAGAAGCAGCTTCATTTCTTGGTTCTTTGATTTTTTTACTTTTAAGATCATTCAGGTGATCGCTTCCACCTTTAAATCTGATGCTTGGGCTGTTTAAAATACAAGTTGTTTTCCTGGGATACTGGGTGACTGACAGCTGTACATGGAGCCCCAGCATGTCTGCGTTCCCTTTGGTGTTGAATTGGCCTCTCCCGCAGGCTCCTGGTAAGATGAGAAGCTGGCAAAAAGCATAAAATGGAATTCATGTGTGGCTGGAAAAAAGATACAAGTGAGTCTCAGACTCTTTATCTGGCGTCTCCAGTGCTGAAGGAGAGGTTTCTATCTCTTTGCTCAATTTAGACAGAGATTTTGCTCCAGACATTTTTTTGCCCCTCACTGTGCAAAACCTGTCAGATCCTTTTCCTGACACTTTCTCCCCCATCAGTCCCTCAGAAAGACTTCAAAAGAGATTTTTTCCCTATTGCAAAAGGAGCCAGACATGGCCTTTCTCATTCACCCTGCATTTGAAGCATTGATAAGTAACATGTGGCTGGCTCCAAACTGGAGACTTTCCCAGCCATTTAAGAAAACACTGTTAATAGTTAAGTTTTAAACAAAACTATAGGATTGTTCTCCCTTCTTTGCAATTGTTCTTTTATGTAATATATCCCAAGAGTTTTGATTCTCTCCTGTCTGAAGCAGTCAGAATTCACTACTGTCTTTCTGATTAACACATATTGAAAAGAAATGTCAATTCTAAAAACTTTTCCATATGGGAAGGGTTTCTTTATTCATAATCTGTGTCACGCTGTTTAAGCTGTAACTTTCTTTAATGCCTTTGGATCATCACTGTGTGGAACACTTACTGCAGGAGTGCCCTAGCAGAAAGAAAAACATTATTTTTAAAACTTGAAACTGACTAAGAGGAGCCTGGAATGGAAATCCACTGTCCTGCATAATTGTTTAAACCTGCTACACAGTTGTGCAAAGGTATGAACTGAGAGGCCTCCGCCATAAAATGGAACTGGGACTTCATCTTCAAAGACAGGGTATGCCTGAGGACAGCCTCTGGTCCTTTTAATATGAGTAGAGCTCACTTGAAAGGCAAGGCTGCAGATGAGGAAGAATGTAACCTGGGGGTTTATGAGCTTATTCAGTAAACTCCAATCTGGTGCATCGCATTATTGCTGGGAGAACACAGTAAAACAACTGCCTTTTTATTTCCTGCTCTGCCTAAGGAACAGTTTAAAAGCAAATGGTATAAATGTATAAAAATACAGGAAGATGGAAGATTAATCTAAATCTGTGTTCAAATATACCACCTGAATTGATTTTTCTTTTAAAATAATAATAAAGCCCCCAAGCTCTCCCTGAAACACAGAGACTGGCTGCATTATCCCCTAACTATTTAACCTGGTTAAGTCAAATTCAGTGTTGGCTCTTAGCTGCTGGGCAAGCTGCACTCCCTGCAGCTTCTGTTGTCCCACGTGTGAGGAGGGCTCAGACCCTGAATATTCAGGGGACCTGTTGGGGCCATTTTCTAAAACCACCTCACTAAACTCTAAGTAGATTCAGCAAGTTTATAAAGTTGGTTTTGGTTGTTTTTTTTCTCCAGTGCCTTTCTCTGATATGAAATGCATTTCTACACCCCATTTAGCATTCCTTATTTGGCTAGAAATTAGACTTTTAAAATCCCCTTACACATGGTATTGTGGAAGAAGTGAAGGTAGGGCAGAGTGAGACAGTTACCAAAGTAGTTTTACATATTATCAAAGTAGAGTTGACAAAAAATTTTGTCTCTGTCCTACTTGAAGTGTCAGTCCTTACTGTCCCATTCCCCAGCGTGTGCACACACACGGGGACATACCTGTTTTGCAGCACTGGTGAGGCTTGTGTTTCTAACCAGGCTGCTGTAGTTTTGGTGCTTTTGAGCCTCTGAGCTTTCTAAGCCTAGAGAAAGGCTAGATGTTTGTGGACTATTTTAAGCATGCTCTTAAAAGCTTCCTCCCCACCCCTTAATGCATCTTTCAACACGTCTGTCTCCATTTTCCTGCCTGCCCTCACTCACCCTTTAAGTCCAGCAAGGAGGAAGTGGGATGAACATTGGCTCAAAATCCATTTTGAGAGTGCACCCCTTCCTAGGACTATGCAAGTAAAACTGTTCAATAGGTGTTTACTTCTGTGTATATCGCATTTCAGCAAATAAGGAGAGATTGTATTCCCTGTCTTCTGTCAGTTACCAGCCCTGACAGAACCACACTTGAACATTCTAGAGGCCTGGTATCCTTTACTGGGGTCTTTATTGTCCCCTCTGATCCTCATGGTCAGCGTGAAGTTTCTTATTTTGGTCAGGTTTTTAACTGGGGCTATTTAAGTCACCCAGGTGGGGCTCTTCAAGCATCAGTGACTCTACATAATCCTGTCTGCATGAATGATGAAGCAGAACATGGGATACAAGTGCATTTCTGCCTTAAATGCCTGTTCCCAGTAAATACTCATAAAAAGAAGTTGGTCTAGCAGTCTGATAGCAAAAACGAAGTTAAACACACAGCTGGGCTCATGCACATTTCATAGAATCATGTAACCCGATATACTTGGCTCTCCACAATGGATCAGTTTGAAGCTTTTTTTGCTCCTAGCATTGAGAAGTTTCAGTGCAAAAAAGTCTGTCTTTGACTTAATCTTCTCGCTAAATAGTTATAGTTGCAGAGAGTAAGATTTGTGCATGCAATATCTGCATTCTGCATTTTCTCATATTGGAAAAAGATCACTACGTTCATCATGAAGATTATTGCATTTTTCTGGAGGCTTTCATTTGTGGGACTTTTTCTCTCCTGTTGAGGTAAAGAGACTTTCTGGAGCTCAGTTCCTGTTTGCATGGCTGGTCTCAACCTTGTCCTGTACTGGACGTGATGGTTGTGCTGTATCTCCTCCACCTCTTCAGCTTTCCCTACTGGTGGTAGTGCTTGTGCCGCACTGTGACCGCTTGCATCAAAGCCCTGGAACTCTGCCCAGATGCTCATAAACAAATGAACTACAATGTGGGATGTATATTTTGCAAGCTAAAGTAATCAAAGAGAATATTAAAAAAGAGATAAAAGGAGATCCTGTTCAACATTTTTACAGTTGTTGCCTTTCTCCCAAAAAACACTTGCTTTTTGTGTAGCTCTTGTTGCTTTGTTACGTATGTGAAAGGGGTTTGTGGTTGTTGATTGTGTTTTTAATTATTATTTAAAAATCACCATCATTTTCAGCATAGATTGCTATTATAAAATAGAACCGGTTATCTGTACCCTCAGTACCAAGCTGGTGATCGCTTGTCTCACAAGAGCCAAACCCAAAGCTTCTCTCGCATGCTCAGTATAAGCTTGAGCACTTGCACTGCTTCTCTCTCTGATGGAAAGCTGGAGGAGGAGAACCCAGTGGTTGAGGATGAGGAAGCTTTTAAAGTAAAACAGGAAATCATCATACTAGGATATTTGCAGAATTGCTGCTACATCGGTGATCTACAGTAGTAAGGAAGGCTTATCCAAAATCACTCAGCGTTTTAAAATGGGAAGAGAGCGCTTGAAACAAAGACTGCTTCCACAGGCATGCTGCTAATCCCTGGGTTTGAGCAGGATTTTTGT